TGTGTGTGTGTGTGTGTGTGGGTGTGTGTGTGAGTGTGTGTGTGTGTGTGTGTGTGTGTGCGTATGTGTGTGTGTGTGTGTGTGTGTGTCAAGTCATCTTTATTTATATAGCGCTTTATACAATACAGATGGTGTCAAAGCAGATTTACAGTGTTAAACAGGAAAATAGTGTGTCGATAATGCAAATAAAATTCAATTCTTGTAAAGAAGCTCTAAAAATAGGACAATAGTAAACAGTACATTTTTCAGTTAAAGTCAGTTCATTGTTGATTCAGTGATGTCATCGTCTAGCTCAGTTCAGTTCTGTTCTAATAGTGCAGTCAAGGCCATAATATTGCCAAGTATTAAGTGTCCCCAACTAAGCAAGCCAAAGGCGACAGCAGCGAGGAACCAAAACTCCATCGGTGACAGAAATGGAGAAGAAACCTTGGGAGAAACCAGGCTCAGTCGGGGGGCCAGTTCTGATGACTGATGACAGTCAGATAAGTAAGATTTGAACCATGCCAATGCAATTCCACTAATGCCAACATAATTTTGTAGTCTACTCAAAAGAATGTTGTGGTCGATAGTGTCAAACGCAGCGCTAAGATCCAGTAGCACTAATAGATAAATACAACCACGATCAGATGATAAGAGCAGGTCATTTGTAACTCTGATGAGAGCAGTCTCAGTACTATGATACGGTCTAAATCCTGACTGGAAATCCTCACAGATACCAGGAATATAGAATATAGAGAGGAATATAGTTGTGAGAATACTGCCTTTTCTATTATTTTTGACAGAAAAGGGAGATTCAAGATCAGTCTGTAGGATCAAGGTGGGGGTTTTTTTTAATGAGAGACTTAATAACAGCCAGTTTGAAGGTTTTTAGGACATATCCTAATGACAATAATTAAATCATAATATTCAGAAGAAGCTCTAGAATGAGTGGAATTGTTTCTATCTGATATAATACTGTATCGGATTGTAACTCTGATGAGAGCAGTCTCAGTACTATGATACGGTCTAAATCCTGACTGGAAATCCTCACAGATACCAGGAATATAGAATATAGAGAGGAATATAGTTGTGAGAATACTGCCTTTTCTATTATTTTTGACAGAAAAGGGAGATTCAAGATCAGTCTGTAGGATCAAGGTGGGTTTTTTTTTTAATGAGAGACTTAATAACAGCCAGTTTGAAGGTTTTTAGCACATATCCTAATGACAATAATGAAATCATAATATTCAGAAGAAGCTCTAGAATGAGTGGAATTGTTCCTATCTGATATAATACTGTATCGGACGGCTGCATTCATGGTTATAATTTTATCTCTAATAGTATCTTGGAAGTTAAAGAAGAAAAGAAATTAATTGTGTGTGTGTTCATTCAGTGGAAGGTCTGTTTGACATGTTAGTAAACAGTGTCAGTGTGATAATAGTGAACATTCACCACGACCGCTGGTAAAATCTGTCTCTTCATCCAAACACTTGATAAGGTTTCACTGCTACAGAGGAGGACAATGAGGAAAGCCAGAGTCGTCACTCCCTTTACCCAGCATTCATAGCACACAAGTCAACAAAACATTGTTGCTGTTTAGTTTCCAGCCTGATCTCATGAGAAACACTCTGCCAACGGTTTTCCAAAAGCACAGTTTGTCCTTCCTGCTACAGGCCAATACAGATGGGACTTAAATACACACAACAAGCTCAATAAATATCCAAATAATGATCTGTTTACTTTTAAATCAGCTCACCCTGTTTGGATGTTAAATCTGATTATAAAGCTCAGATTTTCTGAAGCACTGAAAGCTCTGAATGTCCAGTCTGTGTGCTGAATGAATCTTTCAGTCTGATTTCTGGGGTTTGAACCCACGACTTTGGCATTGATGTAGGAAAACCATGCATGACTTATTTAACAAATACTTGCATTGGCACAGCTGACTGCAAACTATATTCCAGAGCATTATTAACTGATAACCTTCCTCTGTGATCTTGATTTGTCTGAATGGGAGTAACAGTCGCAGTAGCGCCACCCAGTGGACGTTTGATTGGAAACTGCAGTCTGAACCTGCAATTACATTCAGAACTCAACCATTACATTCATAATCACATTCACTCAGGAGACTTTCACAGTGTGTGTGTGAGTTCTGAAAGAAATAGGTCAGCAAATAAAAAGTAGCGCGGCTGCTTTATCATTATAGTGTGATGGATTTTGGGTAAAGATTATCTGAGGTTATTGAGGAAAAGGTTTGACTATGTGATTTTTGGTGTATCGATACAGTTGAGGAGATAAAACGGTTTTTCCAAAGAAGATGAAAGTTTCTGAGTGTAAAGTTTAGTGTGGCTAATTATAGCTCGACATGTCAGAGGCTTTAGATAAGGAAAGACTGAACTGTGAGATTAAGGAGAGCCTGCAATGTTCACTAAAGAGTTAAAGTCAGTTAAAAATTCATATGTTGTAATGTTTCATTTCACCTGTGAAATAACATATAGTAACACCAATACAGTATATAAATAAGAGTTAACCTGTTGGCATTAGAGAATAACATCCATATACAATCAGTTTGTCTGCTCGAGTCAAACCTTTTGTGTTGGGTCCTTTCATACATTTAAATGACTGATTTTTATGATATTTTCAGAACCGAACATTGATTAAAGTAGCAAGCTTTTGTTCATGTGAGATAATAAGACGGTGGTTAGCCTTCATCAGCTTCTGAAGGATGTAAGCAGATTCTTGTGAGCAGGAGGATGATGTGTAAAATCATGGTGCATATATTTGAACTGTATGATGAATATATCTGATTGAATGTCCAGTATATTGCACACAAGTGCTGTCAGAAGTAATGGTGTTTATGACCAGGGGTTCCTTTAATTCAGCATAAATTTTGGTTTAAGAATAAGTAGTCGTGATCTCAGTCCCAAATAGACACTCAGAGAACGGCTGCCGGTCCGATCCTTACATCTGGAGCAAGAGTCTCTCAAAATATTTCAGCCACGAAACCCATTTAGTTAATTCATTACATTGACCTGTTTAGTCAATTCTATCTGAAAACAGTCTGGAGCAACAGCTGTTTTAGATCACTATACGGTTCATGCAATCAGACTCAATATTTTAGGGTTCGGTTTTACTGCTGGGTTGGAGTTTGTACTGAAATGTGTTATTTGTCTGTATGGATACAGTGTGGTTTTGGGGTTGCAACATAAGCACAGAACATTCAAAAACTTTCAGACAGAATTGATCAAACTAATAAAAGAATCAAAGGAATTGTTCCTCAATGACCTTTATTAAAGAAAACATTTCATTCTCAATATCCATAGCAGGCTGTACTTGATTTTTCATAGTTTTATCACAGGATCCAGACACCACAGACGGAGAGAGGTAGGAGTGTTAAATGCTCCTACATTAGTAATATTTTGTTGAAGTAGGAGGTGAAGACTCATGGGAGTGACATTGTCCTAGTTTTCAGATGAAGTTCAGAGAAAACCGTTTCCCTTCATATAGAGCCGTGAGACACTGATCATTAGAGTCATTAACGCTAAATAAACCCTGACCGTGAGATCAGGACCCTGACGAACATCATGTTCTCCTCAGCTTCCAGCCATCGATCAAAAGCTTCATTATCACTGTAAAATCAGTACAAAGTCCTCCAGGATGATGCCAATTAGTTCTTCTGGCTTGCAGACACACGGTTAAATGCACAGCAACTGCAGAAAAATGTTTGACCGATCAGTGATTGAGAATCAGAATATTCCAGAAAGCTGCGTAAAGTCATTTAATGTTTGCAGTCTTCTGTGTATTAATTACAAAATAAGGTCACAATTAAAGTGGTTTAAATGTTCACTGTATATATATATATTACCAGACTTTCTCCTTCTGTCTTTGTCTCATTTATTTATGGGAAGTGTGCACCATTAGAATTGTTCCATGTGAAAGATCTTTTTGTTTTGTCTCTTTAAGCTCCCACTGAATCTCCTCTTCGGCCCAGTCTAGGTGAGTAAAAGCATCGGCAGACACACTTGTGCTGACGTTACTCCTCACTGCTCCTCACTGTGCTCCTGTCTCTGTGTCTGTCCTCGGTATCTGTCGCTGATGTAAAGCTGTGGTTCATGGTGATCATGCTGTTCTCCGGGATGACTTTGAACACAACACACAAGAAGAGCTTAATTTCAATATATGGTGAGTGACACTTGTCTTTCTTTGAGCTGTTTGCTTTTTTTCCCCTATGCAATATTTTGTATTGATGCCATATAGAAAGCTAGAAGATGTGATTATTGTCCATGGCTGGTTCTCTCGCAGGTCAGACTGCAGTAACTGTGAGGTTGGAGAGCAGTGTGGTGCACTGATGCACGGAAAAGCGGTGACGTTTTGTGAGCCCTTTGGACAGAGAGAACTGGTAATTGTCTTTTACAAAACAGCACATTTTGCCCTGGCGGTCTGGTTGTTGACAAAATAAAGTGTTACCCAAGAAAGTAAAACCTACACACACATTAAAGTCTCATCTAAACCAGGTTTGTATCTGATGCTGCTAGTTTATGTTTGAGACGTGACACAGCAGACACGATGATGGTGCACTGGCAGTGAGGACGCTGTGTAGCTTTGCAGTGCCATATCTCGTCTGTTGTTTACACATTATTCCTGTGTGAATTAAGCAGATCTGTGAATAGAAATGAGAAGCTCATGGTTTTATCGTCTCTTTTAGACGACAGTGGCTCTGAACACGAGCACCGCATCAGTCCTGCAGTTTGCCTTTGGTGAGTGTCTCCGTCCTTCTGCGGTTACTGTAGCTCATGATTCTTCAGCTCCTGCAGTCATAGACGACTGGTTTACAGCTGAATACTTTGCAAAAAGGATGCATTTTGTCCTGTCTTCCAGTAAAAATATCTAAACATTCGTAAATCAAGACACATTTATTTGAGATGCAAAATGACTTAAGATAGTCTTGTTTTCTGAAAAATGTACCAAAATTAAGTGTTTATTTATTAAAGGACAAAAAAATATCTGCCAATGGGGTAAGAAAAAGTATCTTGGTTTCCCTTTTAATTAAGTTTATAATTAAATTTCTGACCCCATTACTACATTTTTTTTTCTTTCTTTTTTTTAATTCACTTACTTTTGGTACATTTTTCAGAAAACAAGAGTTCTTATGTCATTTTGCATCTCAAGGCAATGTATCTCAATTTAAGAATGTTTAAATATTTTTACTGAAAAACAAAAAACCTAGCAAATCATATTTTGCAGTATGTATTTTTCTGAATGAAGTTATTAAGTGAATCCATTCTAATGTGTGGCATTCTTGTGTGTGCATTTGTTGTTCAGGATCTGGATCTTGTCGGTTCAGTTACTCGGACCCCAGTATCATCATCTCCTGTGGTCTGAACTCCTCTGATGACTGGATCACCTTGGAAAAGATCAGGTTTTACTTTATTTTAGGACATGGCTCCCACACACTCACAGTATTACTGTTATGTAAATTACTGTATTATGTAAATACAGCATGAGCAGTGCATGGATTATGTGCTATAGAAACTCATCATCATGTCCTTAAGGTTGCATGTGTCTGAATGAGCTTGAGCACTTGTATGTTCAGTTCTCCAGTGTTTTTATCGTATGTATTTGGTCTGGCAGGGCTCCCACTAACAGCAGCACAGTGGTCCATCTCCTGCCATTGCCTCCGGGCTGTAAAGGGGAGGCCATTCATCTGCGCTGGATTCAGGAGCCACCCGTGGGGCCCGATGGTTATGAGTCCTGCTGGGGCCTCGATAACATACTGGTGCTGAACACGGCCAACCGGCCCCCGCTGCTGGAGGACAGCCTGGACCCTCTGGACACGGCCAACTGGCTCTTCTTCCCTGGAGCCACAGTAAAGGTGCATGACCAAAATAGTGCCATCCAGCAAACTAGAAACCATCCCATGTGAAGAAGCTCAAAACGAGTGCTTATTATGAAAATAATGCACTTTAAAAATAATATAGTTAAGTGTGAACTGAATGTAATGTTTTCAAACACTTAATTGCATGTAAACCAAAATGTATTATAGTTTTAATGTATATTAAATGCAATGAACTGAACTTTAGTGTTTTGACCCACTTAAGTAGGACTTCAGTACATCTTTATATGTAATTTCATAATTACTTCTGTTGTCTTTGAAATATACTTAGTTACTGCTGAATGCGCTGACAGACATTTATGATAAACTAAAATATACTTTGATGTGATTTTTATTCAAACTTGAGTGACGTATTTAAATATATCTGTAATTACACATTTGCAATTTAGTTTTTAATTTAGAATATATTAACTATACATGTAATCTTGAATAACACACTAAAGTTAAAATTATAATCTAGTATTTTACATTTTAGTATGTTAGTTAACACATCAAAATAAGTGTACTTCTTTAAAGCAATGACAAAAGTTTATTAAAAAATAATGGTTTAAAATGTACTTTAAAGTAAAACGTTTAATTTGACACGTGCATTTTTTCCGAAAGTGTTTCTAAGTGTGTTTCTCTTTATGTCCCGTAAGTGGTCTTTTGTTTCATTAATATTATATTATCTGCAATAATAGTTTTGTAAAAATATATACTTTTAAGATTTGAACACTACAAGTGCACATTCAGTACAATCATTTTAATGAGGTATGGCCTATGAACGCTTTTATTGCAGAGTTCAGTTTATGGTTTAATATCTGGAAGTAAAGAGCTCATATGACGGGTCAGAACATGTGATCAGCGTGTCAGAACATAAGGCCGCAGCTTTGACAGGGTTATTTCTTACAGCAGCCCAGCAAGTGTTTACCGGCCCACACTTGCAGACGGGTCTGTTCCCCTATAAATGAACCAAGGTGGGGCTGGTGTTAGCCTAGTGAAAAATAAATATACTAAAATGTATTTGAAATACATTTATTTCATGCTAAGTATACTACAAATATATTTACATATTTATGTGCTTAATAAAAATACCCTGCAGTTGTACATTTGGTATCCTATACTGTAGCACTGTAACGCTTCCTCTCGATTCATTTGACAGCATGCTTGTCAGTCAGAGGGAAACTCCTTGTACTTTCATGGCGGAGAGGGATTCGAGCACAGCTTCGCCTCCACACGAGACGTGGACCTGCACCGTGAAGAGGGACGCAGCTACTGGGAGGAAGACTTTGAGAGTCCACTGAGTGGGTGCGTGTTACTACTGCCAGCAGATACGATTGGGATTCATGCTAATGGAGTGCTTTTATGAAATAGTATTTTAATAGTAGTTAGGTCAGTCAGTAGACTAGCATACTGACTAGATGAGGTGACACATTGAGGTTTTGACATTTCAGTTTTAATATATTGGAGCTCTCTTGACAAGTTAGATCTCCAAAAGCAAAAATTTGGGTTACAAACAGGTATATCAGATGCTGTTAAGTGTAGCAAAAGTTTCTTGTAGAACAGTGTACGTTATGTAGGGAAGTGTAATTGTAAGCGCTGTGTGTGACCTGTAGATGGGAGGTTGATGGAGTGGTGAATGGCGTTCAGTGTGGAGAGGTGGAGTCTGAATCTGCACTCGTCTTTCTCAAAGATGGACAGAGGAAGGTGTGCACACCGTACATCAACACCACTGCCTACGGAAACCTGCGCTTCCACTTCACCATGGGTATGACTTACACTTTTACGTGCACATTACGTTGACGCTGACATGTGTTCAGTGTCTGATCTCTCTGTGTTCAGTGTCTGATCCCTGTGTGTTCAGTGTCTGATATCTGTGTGTTCAGTGTCTGATCCCTGTGTGTTCAGTGTCTGATATCTGTGTGTTCAGTGTCTGATCCCTGTGTTTTCAATGTATGATCTCTGTGTGTTCAGTGTCTGATCCCTGTGTGTTCAGTGTCTGATCTCTGTGTGTTCAGTGTCTGATCTCTGTGTTCAATGCAGGGGGTGGAGACTGTGATCCTGGAGAATCCAACAAGAATAATGTGGTCCTGTTTGGTCGTTCAGAGGGCAGGAAAGGTCATGTGCTTCTGGACATACTTCCGTACTCAGCCTACAGGGTAGAAGCCTTATACAGTCTATAATCAGAATTAGGTTGCATAACCATTTTCAACAATTGACATGTTCTGTTCAGAAACTATCATTCAACTATTTCCTCTTTTGTGATTTACTGTGTCATGTTCCCATCTGTATACACCTTGACATCTCTTGGCTTTCTCTTCCAGACTCCTTCAGTTGTCTCGGTTGGTTTGACCACAGAGCTTCAGACTCCAGCCACTCAGTTTTGTCTAGAACAGAAGTTTCATGGTGGAGCGAACCGTCACGTTTGGGCTGTGGACTTCCTGCAGCTGCTGCCGGTGCTGCCCGGAGCAAACACTCACCTGGTGCAGTTCTCAATCAACCTTGGGTGTGGAGCCTATCAGCCGGCCAACAGGTGATCAGATCAGGAAACAGTGATAACCCAAAAATCATCACTTAGCCTCATGTTGTTCAAACCTGTATGACTTCTTCTGTGGCTCATAAAATAAGAAATTTTGAAGAACACTGGGGTCCAAACAACACTGGACAAAACAGCACTGAGATATTTTTCAAAACATCATCTTTTGAGTGTGAAATTACATTTGAGAAATTCAGTGATGAGAATAGAATAGAATAGAATAGAATAGACTTTTCAACAGCAGGAATGGTGGAAGTTGTAGTTTGTGCATCTTTGGTTTGTATGCAGCGGTGATAGTAATAATAGTTCAGAAACAATATTCAGTACAGATGCAGAAGAAGACAAGATTCAGCACATGTACTGTTTAAAATAAAATAAAGTGAAAATAAAGGTTGTTGTCTCATCTTTTTCTGTTCCTGCATATGTGAATCTCACAGTGTCAAACTGGAGTTCTCAACCAATCATGGTCGCTCCTGGTCTCTCCTGCACACAGAGTGTCTTCCTGAACTGTGTGCCGGATCACATCTGCCTCACAGCAGCATCTACTCCTCAGAGAACTACAGCGGGTCAGTCACTGCGTCTGTCGGACGCTTTCATAAGTGTGGCATGTGTCTGTGTTGTGTGTTCTGTTAACAGCACCGTTGATTCTCTCTGTGTTCCTGTAGTTGGACGAGGATCACGATTCCTCTGCCCAATGCTGCGCTCACAGAAAGCACTCGCTTCCGCTGGAGTCAGACCGCTGTGGGAAGCAGCATCATGTGGGCGATTGACAACGGTAAGAGCCATTCATTCACCATACAGGTCATATTTACTGATAGATGTCGACACATTATAGTCAAACACACAGAGTGTGATCAGCAGATTAGACAGTGATTTTGACACTTAGACACCAGACTGAGCCAATAAATCATGATCAGTGACGATGATGATGATATGGTTGATGTTGTGTGTTCCAGTGTATATCGGGCCGTCCTGTTTGCGTTTCTGCTCCGGTAGAGGACACTGTTCACGCACGGGCTGCAAGTATGAACGCCTTTCAGTCAGAACTGTGGCGAAACACTCTTTACACTGTGAAAACAGCAACATCTTACTGGTTCAGGAAAATGTGTGTTTTCTTGGTATTTCTTCAGGTGTGACCATGGTTTCAGCGGTCCGGCATGTGAGCTGGCGTCTCAGACCTTCCCTGCGTTTCTGTCCGAGAGTTTCTCCAGCGTGAGGCTGTCGTCCTATCACAGCTTCTCCTCACTGCGGGGGGCAGAGGTCAGCTTCGCCTGTGGGGTTTTGGCCAGCGGAAAAGCCCTGGTCTTCAACAGGGACAGTAGAAGACACATTGTTACGACCCCCCTGGACAGTTCACAGGCCAGGTATACACACACACACACACACACATGGTTTTTATGTTTTATGGGACTCTCTATAGGCGTACTGGTTTTTCTACTGTACAAACTGTATTTTCTATCCCCCACCCCTCACACAAAACTACAGGCATTTTTACATTCTTAATAAAACATTGTTTAGTATGCTTTTAAAGCTACTTTAATTATGAGGACTCATAAATCACATAAATATGCACACATATACGTGCCACTGCTTGGGTATTAGAAGTGTAAGAGAGCATCAAAGATCGTGACTCTTTCATTTTTATCACTTTTATTTATCACTTCATTCAGAAAGATACTATTGTTCATATATTCGTGTCATCTTGACTCCTCTGATAGCACTACTTCAAAACAAGCCCCAGGTCATGTTTCTTTCTCTCCTGCAGGTATCTTCAGTTCACGCTGAGGCTGGGCAGTCGCAGCACGTCGAGCTCCTGTCCCGCTCCAGACCAGCCGGGTGAAGGAGTGCTGCTGCATTACTCCTCAGATAACGGCATCACCTGGACGCTGCTGCAGCATTACGCTTATCAGGGCTTCCATGAGCCCAGGTACACCGCCCTGAACACACACACCGCTGTGGGACTTTACTGCAGTCGTGTGGTGTGGCATATCTGACTTCTGCAGTGTGTCAAGCACATAGGTTAATATATGTTGTGTGATCAGCTCATTTGCTAGTGCTGATGGTTAGCCTGAATTGGACTCTTTGTAGGATCGTTTCTGTGGAGCTTCCTCCTGGGGCCCGTAGGTTTGGGGTCCAGTTCCGGTGGTGGCAGCCGTACCATTCGGGCCGTGGGCAGGACGTCTGGGCTCTGGATGAGATCAGCATGACCTCCGTCCTCTTCAACATCATCAGCCTGGACTTCAGTAACGTGTTAGACGTGACTCAGAGCCTGGGCTTCTATCTGGGGAACGTGCAGCCGTACTGCCAACACGACTGGACCCTCAGGTACCTGCCTCATCTTCACCACAGTACCATTCATTATTAGTTAAGACTTCAATCAGCAGCCATTGAAGCATCAATGTGAAATATAGGCATTACTGACATCTCAGTACAGAGACAGAAGAACTATATCATGATGTCTGTCCTTACAGTGGTTGGAAGTGACTGGTGATGAGTATTTTGAGCTTAAACAGGGAGCTGCTGGAAAGTCACCTCATGATGCTTTATGTTTATGATGCTTAACGAACATCAGGTAACAAACCCTAACCGATTGATCAGATGAACATCACTGCATTTGTGCTTCACTCCTTTCGTGATTTTTCTGGGATTTAAGGATTTGGAGAACATCTAATCCATACTATAAAAGCTACTCTAATGGAGCTGAATGATCTATTAATGTACAATAAAAACTTTTCTAGTTAATATTCATGAGCTCAGGCATCTGTCTCACTCCACACCAGCTCTCCAAGTACATAAAAGCACAAAAAGAGCTCTGTTTTTGCCAGACCAGCAAAGAGACAGAAAATTGCTTTTGTATTCAATGCAAAAGCAAACAGAATATTTCTGCAATTAATAATGCATTGAAATCCAAACAGCATCAGCATTTCCCTTCGGGCGCCGTCTGAAATGAAAGTGTAAACCACAATGATGTAAATATTTGCTCAGTTTTTCAGGCGATCATGGCTCGTCCTCCAGTATCCGCTATGTGGAAACACAATCCATGCAGATCGGCGCGTCCTACATGATCCAGTTCTCGCTGGTCATGGGCTGCGGACGCGACCCTTCTCCTCACATCGACACTCAGGTCCGGCTGGAGTTCTCCACCAATCACGGCTTGACTTGGCATCTCGTCAAAGAGGTGAGAAAACCAAAAATATTCACTAATGCTTCTTGTTTTCATCAAGAGAAAAGTACCTAAATGCACCATAGTGTGACCATGTTTTTGGAGTATGATATAAATACCATGATAATGATATACATTCAAGTACTGACAGTATCACCATCTGATACTGCCTCTGGGTCTTCACTCAGAAACCTCCGCACTCTTTGTAAGGATTGTAGAAACAATATAAACCACTGCATGTAGTCTGATTACAGACGATTCCTGGAGAAAACGCTGGTTGTTGCTGTGATTCCTCTGGTCTCCACTGTGAGGTTAACTGCTGTTTCTGGTGGTTTGTGGGTAACAGGCCTGTCTCCCCGGCATGCCGAGCTGCTCTGAGTTCACTGCGTCCAGCGTCTACCATCCGTCTGAGTTCACAGACTGGAGACGCATCACGCTTCCACTGCCGTACAAAACCTGGTGAGACACAAACGCTGCAGCTGCACACAGATTCACCGACTGCAGTGCACTGCATCCTCCTGTGAATATGCATACATGTGACTCTTTTGATAACTAGAATAATACTTCCATAAAGAGACGTCTAAAGTCTCATATTAAATTACAAACAATACATGGCAGTTGTTTCAAGAGGATAAACACCAAAGGCATTTTCTCACGACCTGTTTTGCTCATATTTGCAGCAGTATTTCTGATTGTAGGGTGGAAATGGTCATATTTGAGCAGTGTTCATACATCTTCATCGACTGCTATGCATTTGCAGTGTTTTCTCGTCTCACTCTGGTTTCATGCTGTTTTCTGGCTGTAGGTCGAGTGCGACACGCTTCCGATGGATCCAGAATCACTATCAGGAGCAGGACGAGTGGGCTCTGGATGACGTTTACATTGGGCAGCAGTGTCCTCAGATGTGCCGTGGACACGGATGGTGCGACCACGGTCACTGCAGGTCAGTCACTGTCACTTACAGCGGATAGCATTTCAAGTATTTTTGTTTAATTTTCGATTTGAAATATTTAAAAATCTTAGAAACAATAATTTACTGGAGAAGCAGAACTGTTCAAGAAATTAAGACTTATTTTCACAGATGAGCTATTGTAGCACTGGCAGGCTTCTCACTTGTTTTAATTATAAACAAATGTAAAAAATCTGTAATGTGCCGTAAGACAATTAAAATACACACATATTAATAAAATGCAATCTATGAAAACAAATCTTAATATCTTATGCAGTGCTAAGTAAATATTTTCTTGTTTGAGGGATTTTTTTCTGGACAACAATTCAAAACAGACATTTTTGCGGTGTGTTTAAGGATGTTTTGTGAGGTTTCATCATAATTTAAAGCTCTTCATCCACCACAGCGGCATGAACATCATTTACTCTCACACTCAGACCTGCGGGATTCACTTATTCTTTGTTTCATAATTTGTGAACAAACACTGTGTTTTCCAGTCTGCTGTAAAGCAGTCCCTGACCCTGGGTTAACAGAGTGTCCGGCTCACAGATCACATCTGCAGCGCACAGCCATGAATCTGACTCACTGCTCTTATTACTGCACATAAATGACATGAGCTGATGCGCCTTATATGGCCTTTCATTTCAAACGATAAGTGAAAAACATGGCTGTGTGACACAAAAGAACTGTGAGGAATCCTTACAGCCTAACAGTAAAGAATTTTGACGATTATTTTTCCACTGTTGTAAATGCAATAAGGGACGAAATGACCAGAGGATTTTTTTTTTTTGCTTATCATATAACTTTTGATAGATTTTAAATTAATTTTGTCATCAAATTATCAAATTCTTTATATTTTAATTACATTTTTATTTTACATTCATTAAAGCTTTATTTAGTATTCATCATAATTTAGAACCCTTTAGAGAATCCCTACAGTGCTAAGAGAAACATGAATATTTGTGAATATGTAGTGCTTTAGTCTGGTGCTGCCATCTCAATAATATTTTCAGAGCTATTGGTTGATAAATATTGATGATGGAGCACAAATAGTTAGATATACTAGATAAAATTACAATGGTGCTAGTAACAATGCAGTATTTATGTGAGGTTTTAGCTAATTAATATGGAATCATGCTGTGTTTTATGTGATGCATTACAATTTTATATTCTTTGTTAAATTGATTGTTACAGGGATCGTTCACCAAAAATGAATAATTTTGCCATGATTTTCTTGTGTTCATGGTGTTTCAAACCTGTACGACTGTCTTTCTTTGGAATTTGGAATAAAAATGTGACTGTTTTGGTTGCTTTGACTGTCATCTTGTGATCTGAAGCCCGTCCCGCGGTGGAGGATCAGTGTGTGCTGAACGCGGTTTGAGACGCTGACTGTGAGCCCTTCATGGGCGGCTCAGGGTCAGATGTATGTGACGGCTCAAGGCGAGCGGGGATGATTTGTTGGGTCACTGCGTCTAGCGGCGGCTCGTGAATCAGCCGCTGGAGCTGAAAGGTCATGCGTTTGCTCTGTTGCAGGTGTGATGAAGGCTTCACCGGCTCAGACTGCCAGACGCTCAACACTCTGGCCTCCAGTGTGCTCTCAGACTTCGAGTCGCAGGAGACCCTGGTGTCAGCGTGGCAGGAGGCGACCGGAGGCGAGATCGTGCTGCCCGACCAGGGCTGTGGGGTGGTTTCCTCCGGGTCCTCTCTGTACTTCAGCAGGGTACGAGTATTCAGCTGGACTCTTTCTGCTTGCTTCTGCTTGTTTGGCTTCTCCAGTCTCCCTTTCGTAAAGGAAGTCTGTATTCTTATTTTTGCTAAACTTTATTTAGTTTTCTGATAAGGCATACACTTCAACAAATGAGGTACAGTACAAACAACAGTATATAGTACATTTAAATATACAGAAATAAGATGTCATAAAAGATGTCAAAGATAAATATCCCTGAAAATATGAATCCCTAGAATATGAATGAATGAATGTCACAAAAATGATACAGTGCATAAGACTAGTATAAAGTGATCATATTCCCTGATCTAATACAGACTTCCATATTTTCCAAAATAAACGTAACTCGTCAAAAGCCAGTATTCTTTTAAGCTTATATTGACGTGAAACCATCAAAAGAAGAAAAAAAAACATCATAAAAGATTCCTTCATGTTTAGTTTTGATCCCGCAATGTCATTTTCATTTTTTTAATTCACAGGCCTAGTTCTTGACCTTCAGTGTGCTGCGAGAGATTAAATCTAGTGTGAATCTGGAGTATAAACACATTTCGTCACTACACCAGATAAAAGTGTTGTCTGTGATCGCTGGTATTATGTCACAGAGGCTGTGTAACTCTCGCTGGTCATCAGGCTGGGCTGCGGCAGCTGGTCAGCTGGGATCTGGACACGGAGTGGGCGGAGTTTGTGCAGTTCTACCTGCGGATGGGCGGAGACGGGGCGGAGTGTAACCAGGCCGACAGCAGAGAGGAGGGGCTTCTGCTGCAGTACAGCAATGATGGTGGAATCAGCTGGGGTCTGATCGCAGAGATGTACTTCACTGACTTCACCAAACCACGGTGAGAACACGGAGGAACCGCAGAACAACTTTAAGCTTTTTACTTTAAGAATGAGGAATTCCAGGATCGAAACTGCATGTAATACATCCAAACAATTCTTTCTCTCTTTATTTTTTTGACCTGGAGTCATTTGAAAGATAATGAGCAGGCATTACACAACGCCCAACCCCAGCTCTTTAATGCAATAAACACAGCTGGCAAAAGGAAAAGGCCTATTTAAACTAAGGATCTGTTCATGCAGAACAAGTTCTGGTGTTTAAAACAAGCATGCGACGCAGCAGAATGGAAGTAGAAATGAACTCAGGGATCTTGAGATGCATTTTTAAAAGCTGAGCATCTTTTCAAAGAGCAGTGCAGTGGAATGTAATAACACATTCTGTGTGACCCGGCCATAACAATAATTAAAACACTGCAATCTCACCATCTGATAAATTTCTGTGAGTGTCACGTCCACCGTACTGTGTATTTAGCATCTTTATGTGAATGTATTCTGAGTGTTTGTGACTGGATGATGTTGTTTGGCTCAGGTTTGTTCATTATGAACTTCCTCTGGCCTCTAAAACGCCCTGCACGCGTTTCCGCTGGTGGCAGCCGCTGCACTCGGGCGAGGGCTACGATCAGTGGGCCATCGATGACGTGATCATCCTGTCTGAGCGAGAGAAGCACGTCATCCCCATGGCCGATCCTACACTGCCTCAGGTGAGACGGACACAAGCGCATTCTGCTGCAGCGCTCCTGAAGATACGACAGAGCTCTGATTCTCCTGTGCTTCTGCAGAACTTCTACGAGAAACCGGCTTTCGATCATCCGCTCAACCAGATGAGCGTGTGGCTGATGCTGGGAAATGAAGGAATGGACAAGGACCGTAACGGGAGTTTCTGCGCTCCCACTCCCTCTGCACTAGTGTTCGGCCGGTCGGACGGGGACCGGATGGCAGTGACCCGAGACCTGGCTCTCCGTCCCGGATACACGCTGCAGTTCAAGGTACTGATGTAAGGCTGCGCGGAGGAACTCTTCTTTTTCATAAGCATGAAATACTTTATAAAGCTCTCAACTGATTAAAAAATGCAATCACATTAATTATATAATAAACTGAGACTTGCTAAGAGAAGCCTCCAAATCATCAAACACTGTCACACAGCACGAATACTTATGGAGTTTTTTCTGCACAGCTTTTTAAGATGGGTGGTGAAATTAAAATTGACTGAATTTTAAATGTATTCAATTTTATAAATGCTTATGTTATACACCTCATTGTGAACAATTTGACCCCATCATTTTTCATCAGAATGTCATAACTGGATCTTCTCTCTGGTGTTGTATGCAGAAGTTCTCCAATCATTTAATGCATTTAAACTCCGCCCCCCAAGCTCATGCTCATCTGCATAGATTTTTAAGAGCCACGCCCACCTCTCAATATCCAATCAACAACCGATGCACAGAACCAAGTTCCGCCCCACATTTTTTCATTTTTGATAATCCATTACACTCGGATATACATCACAATATGGAAGAAACAATCTGTCGCTGCTTTATTTTCACTGCAGCTTTAAGTGTCGGTGTAAACATACATCAGATGGATTTGAAGTGTGTTTGAAGCGTGTCACATGCAGCATCAGCATCATCTACTAACTGCAGACTCACAGCTTTAACTATGCACTGTGTTTCTCCTTCAGCTGAACATCGGCTGTGAGTCGGTCTTCAGTGCGTCTGCACCCGTGCTGCTCCAGTACTCTCATGACGCGGGCCGCACATGGGCTCTGATGCGGGAGGGCTGTTACCCAGCATCCCCTGGGGCCGCGAGCTGTGAGGGCAGCGGACGTGAACTCAGAGAGCCCACTGTGTACCACACGGGAGACTACGAGCGCTGGACCAGAGTCACCGTCGTATTGCCACGGATCGTAGCCGCCAGGTAACTGGACCCTGGGATTGTTCTGAGAATGGGGTCCAAACACGGATTCATACTGTCAGAGACATGGGGATATTTTTAAAGAACAGTTATTTTAAATATTTTTCATAGGTTTTCCACAAATGCTTTATAGGAGTTCCTTTACGCATCAGGCAAATGTCCCAGGGGTTCATTTTTTATTTTTATTGTAAGTAAGGCAGTAAACAGAAGTCTTTTCATAATAATTATACCCTCAGTTTTGAAGATCTCTATATTCCCGTGTAATTTTCAGCAAGACACGCTTCCGCTGGTTCCAGGAGAGCAGTGTCTATCGGGACGCCCCTGCGTTTGCACTGGATGGCGTCTACATCTCTGAGCCCTGTCCCAATCACTGCGGCGGTCACGGAGACTGCATCTCAGGCGTCTGCTTCTGCGATATGGGATACACAGGTATGTTCATGTTCTTTCAGATGCGTTCTTGCTGAGCTGAATGAGTGGATGAGCTGATGTTCAGACGCTCAGCAGGAATAGCTTTTCTTATCTAGTCTTGGGATCAGGAGCGTGTATACTACTTTTTGGTTGATATGGAAGCTGAATCAACAGATGTCGATCATCGTATCGTATCCTGGAGTCCTTCAACACTACACATGTGGAATGTCACTTTGTCGGTAAATGTGATGTTATAGATTGTTGTCATGTTCATGTATGTTTGGTTATGTTTGTGTTTGCGGTGGTCAGTGGAGGTGGACCAGTCCAGCTGTGTCCCGTCTGCTCCGAGTCCCACTGAACTGGTGGAGGATTTCGAGGGGAAGCTGAGCCCGCTGTGGCAGAGCCTGAGCGGAGGACAGATCGGTGACGGCTGCGGGAGCATCAGCGAAGGGAATGCTCTGTACTTCAGCAGCCTGGGCAGACGAGAGGCTCGCACCACGCCGCTGGACACCACCCACACCCGGTCAGTGCCACGACACTGCTGGACTCTCGCAAACAATAAAGCTTTAGACCCTGTAAACATGTGTTTCACGTCCACTGCTTGTGTTAGTTTTCTCCCTAACTCGTGTAGAACTCTCTCTCGTCCTCTGTTTTCTTCTTCCGTACAGTTTGGTTCAGTTCTACATTCGTATCGGAGGGAAAAACATGGGCTTCACCTGCACTCGCCCCCGCTCCCGAAACGAAGGTGAGTGTTGTGGAGTTCAGATGTTCAGATCTGCAGAAGGTCACAGGGACTGGACTGTAATATTGCAATCCTTTTTCTGTCATTTGCCGTCTGTGTAAATCACAGCAGCTTGAGCAGCTGGATGAGATGATCATGCACCAAAAATACTGCAGCTTGATCCTTTTTCTCATTGCTCAATAGTTCAGCAGCCAATTGTGAGTTATTCCTTGCTTATGTTTGACAGGTGTGATTGTCCAGTTTTCCATAAACAATGGTGTTCAGTGGCAGCCCCTACGAGAGCTGGACTTTGGCTCGTTCCTGGAGCCTCAGGTGGTGACGATCGAGCTCCCGCCCGCGGCTAAGACGCCTCACACTGTGTTCCGCTGGTGGCAGCCGCAGCAGGGTGAGAACAGACCAGCGTCATGTGATGAACTTACTGAAGGTGTTGTGATGCAGTGCCTGACAGGAGACATGTGTTCCTCTTTCTCAGGTAAACACTCGGCCCAGTGGGGTCTGGATAACGTTCTGATCGGAATGAACGACAGCGCTAGGAGTGGGTTCTTCGACACGTTTGATGGCACGTCTCCATTTAGACACAACTGGTATCGAGTCGTAGGTGGAGAGGTGACAGCAGACTGTCTGAGCCCAGACTCAGTGCTGAACTTCAACTCCGAGGTCATGGACAGTGAGTTAATCGCCAACACACCCATAACCTCATGTTCATCACAAACATTTATATGTGCGTTTTCATCTGGAAAATGAGCCGTTTACTCATCTGCAATACTGTATGTTGCTGTGAATCAGCTCCTTTTAACATGTTTATCAGATGTGTGTACAATAATATGTATTTAAATACTTAATTTAAATAACATAAATTGACAGCGTGTACAAGGGGCTGGCACAATACTCATGATACTCATAAGTTGCTCAGACTTTGTTAAGGGGCAGTTTGTATTTGCATAATTCCATCTGTAAAGCATTTCAGTAAACGTGACTTTACACTGTGATTACAGAGCGTTCCAAAACCTTTCAGAGAGATTCACACCTTCAGAATCGAATGAATCACACTTGTATGACAGAATCTGATCTGAATGCAGCTGGGTTTGAGTTGACTGAATGCTCTCTCTCTCTAGAGAGGCCGCGTTACGCTGAGAGCTGGGACTTCGAGGTGTCTGGCTCTTCGTTCCTGCAGTTTGATCTGAGCATGGGCTGCAGTAAGGCTGCGTCTCCGGCCCACGGCGTCCATCTGGAGTTCTCCACAGACTGCGGGAGACACTGGACGCTCATCATGCCCGAGTGTGTGCCTCCGGCCATCGGCTGCTCCGGATACACGCAGCGGTCCGTGTTCAGCGCTCCACAGTTCCTGCAGTGGAGGAGAGTCACCGTCTACCTGCCCAGCGCTGCCATGTAGGACCCGCTCCGACTCTTCACACGGCACAAAGACTCTTATGATGGGCTATACATGCATTTCAGTCCCACACTTATACCACTAAATGCTTGTTCAGCCCCTGCAAAAAAAGTACTGTGGCAGCAACAGTTATGAACAGTAATGCTATTAAATAAAAATACTGTGGTACTTTGGTATGTACCATGATATTTTACATGTAAGGAATTTGCTTATATGCCATGGTACATGTCCAATGATAATCATGTGTGTGCCTACTAACATCACAGGCACAAAATGGGTTAAAACATGCTTTTTTGGGGAGTTAAGTGATGGTGCAAACAGCAGTAAAGTGACTAGCACTAACCTTAGTAAAACACCTTGCGTGATTGATTTGAACTCTTTCCTCCCGTAAATGCTGTGTCTGAAAGGGAAACTCCTATAAATTACTATGCAATAAGTTCAGCTGCAAAAATAGCTTTGTCCACAGCTTTTTATCCCTTTTTCCTCAAGAATGTTCTATGGTTTTTAATGGGGTTTTTCAGTTAATGAGTAAAATAAGGTCTGTGGTAAGCATAACTTGATGAGACTTTGTTGTAAACATAAACTGTACGCACTCACACTCCAAACATATTAGAAACATAAAAATTGAGATAACTGCTTCAAAATTTGTGTTTTCAGTATAAGTGTGTAAACATAAGTATCACCAAGTTATGTTTACCACAGACCTTGTTTTGCTTGGAAAATCTCGAAGGAATCTTCTGAGTTGTGACGTATTGGCTGCAGCACACTGTTTAATGTAAGTTTGCGTGTTTGAATGTTCAGTCTGGATTTTCAACACTGCACTCTTGTTCCTAAATGTATAGTTCACCCAGAACACGGTTCCGCTGGATCCAGCCTCTCTTGGCTCCTGGAGCTGATGGCTGGGCGCTGGATAATGTGCTGCTGACGCCCGGCTGCCCGTGGATGTGCTCGGGTCATGGACTGTGTGACAACGGACACTGTGTGTGAGTGTGGACTCCAGCTGCTTTAGCTCCTGATAGCTTCATATTCCTCACATGCTCCTCAGCGATCCTGCAGTCACGCTGGGTTTTCTCTCGCTCAGCTGTGATAAGGGCTTCGGCGGACCGCACTGTGTGCCTCTAGTTGCTTTGCCGTCCGTTCTGAAGGAAGATTTCAATGAGAACCTGAGGGCTGATGTCTGGCCGGAGGTGTACGGCGCAGAGAGAGGCACGCTGAGCGGAGAGCCTCTGAAATCAGGAACGGCCCTCATCTTTAAAGGAGTGAGTATTGCAGTCAAACAGCTGGGATCTTCCAGTGAAAAGATCATCGAATCCTCCATCGTCGTAGCAGTAAAGGAACACTTGATTTCAGCATTTATTTAATTGGTAACACATTATTTTGAGTCCACTTTAGACGTTCTACTAACTGTAAGTAACTGTGCAGCTCCACGTCAGCGAGCAGTCATTAGAGTATCAGTGACCGTCTGCTTAATATCTGCTCACACTTGATTTTGATGGACATTCTACTCACTATAAGTCACTTTGCACGTACATTTCAGCTTATTCTACTAACCCTAACCCTAAACTAACAAAGTTACTTCTAGTTCGTAGAATATCTAAAGTGGGCTATTGAAATAAATAAAGTGTTACCATTTCATGTAATTATATGTTGGTTTTGCAAGTCCCTCTAACACTTGCAATCTCTATTCTAATTCTATTTTATCTACTTGTTTTCTTTTTATTTATTATAAAAATGACCCTCTAACACTAGTGTTCTCTATTCTTTTTCTATTCTATCTACTTGTTTTATTGTTATTTATTATAAAATACATAAATAGATAGAAAACCTTGCTACATGTACTGCGTTAGGCTAACCAAGACTTGTTGCAGCACTTATATATGAGACCCTGGAGCACAAAAGCAGTGTTAAGTCGCTGGGGTATATTTGTAGCAATAGCCAACAATACATTGTATGGGTCAAACTTATACCCAAAGAGGCACAAAATCACTTTCACAGACTTTTTCATTAACTGTTCCCTCCTGGTGCAATGACCTGCCCAAGTCGATCCGAGTAGCTGAGTCATTAGCCATCTTCAAGAATCGGCTAAAAACACATCTCTTCCATCTTCATTTGACCCCCTAACTCCAGCACTCGCTATTCTAATTCTATTTTTTCTATTTGTTTTCTTTTTTTTATTAAAAAAACACTTGACCCTCTAACACTTGCACTCTCGATTCTACTTCTATTCTAACTGCTTATTTACTTTTTATTTATTATAAAAATGACCCTCTAACACTAGTGTTCTCTATTCTTTTTCTATTCTATCTACTTGTTTTATTGTTATTTATTATAAAATACATAAATAGATAGAAAACCTTGCTACATGTACTGCGTTAGGCTAACCAAGACTTGTTGCAGCACTTATATATGAGACCCTGGAGCACAAAAGCAGTGTTAAGTCGCTGGGGTATATTTGTAGCAATAGCCAACAATACATTGTATGGGTCAACCTTATACATTTCTCTTTTATGCCAAAAATCATTAGGATATTAAGTAAAGATCATGTTCCATGAAGATATTTAGTAAATTTCCTACCGTAAATATATCAAAACGTAATTTTTGATTAGTAATATGCATTGCTAAGAACTTAATTTGAACAACTTTAAAGATGATTTTCTCAATATTTAGATTTTTTTGCACCCTCAAGATTCCAGATTTTCAAATAGTTGTATCTCGGCCAAATATTGTCCTATCCTAACAAACCATACATCAATGGATATATAAATGTATAAATCTCAAGGCTCTTAAGACTGATTATGTGGTCCAGGGTCACATATTATTGCTCTTTTGTTGGTTTTGTTTGCTTCTTTTGTTCTCATTTGCAAGTCGCTTTGGATAAAAGCATCTGCTAAATGACTAAATGTAAATGTTATAGAAATGCATGTTAAAACTTTCATAGAACTTTTCTACAATGGAGTTGTATCAGTAAATGAGAAGAAATCAGTTTTCTGTATCTTCCTGCTTTTGTGCCATGTGTTCCTGCAGGAGGGACTGCGCATGCTGGTCTCAGCAGATCTAGACTGCACAAACACCATGTACATCCAGTTCTCATTCAAGTTCATAACGAAGGGTGAGTCTGGCGTGAAGCGTGCTTTATCTCCAGCTTTCCTGCTTGTCTTCTGTGAGCTGATGGGAATGAACGCACTGGTTGTAAACACAGTATTTCTGTGTGTTTTACTCGCAGGTGTTCTCTGGTCCCGACTGCTCCGTTCCAGACGTGCCAAACCTGGATTTCCTGAAGGAGGATTTCGAAGGTACAGAAGCAAACAGATGTTTACAGTATGCTGTTATTTGACATTGGTTAGTTGAGTAACAACTCTAGATATCATGATATGTTTGTATTTGAAACACATTTGTAAGAATAGAGTCATGATATTTCAAACGCATATTATGGCATTTGGACACTCAAGTCACACTGAAAATATCTGATAGCCACTGTATGATATATTAAATATCTCTTCAGGAAGTCAAACTACCAGTGAGCTGCTTATACTGGGACAGCAGAACTCATTTTCTTAATATCAAAAAATACATGCTTCTTCCAGCCTAAAGTTGGCTTCTATATTAACAATGATTTGGGGATTAATATAAAGTTATTTAATGGGAAATTATGTGAGTGGTGCTCATGTAGTGTGGTATGGGTAAGAAAACAGTGAAAATGAATAACAGCTATCTCTTCCAAGATTTTTGCCTCTATGTCGAGTTGCTTGTTGTGTGTTACTCTTTATTTTGTGTATTGTATTCTGCTTGTTGTCTGTTACTTTTATCACAAAGAAGTTGCACTGAATTTCATTGTACATCTGTGCAATGACAATAAAGGCATTCTGATTCTGCTCCTCATAACCGTACATTAAACATGAAGTATCTTCACAGTGATCGTGTCATGGTGTGCAGCAGATTCACATTCACTGTGGACAGACAAATAGCTTGCAGTGTATATTTCTCGAAAGAGAAGCTTGACTAGAGCAGATTCATTGGGATTTGTCTGTGTATAAAAATTGTCTATTTTATTGATTGTGTCACATAGGCGGGGTTTTGGAGTCTGAATACTTCAAGTTGATGAGTGGAGGAAAGCCTTCCAGAAAGTGTGGCATCACCACCAGCGGGAACCACCTGTTCTTCAGTGAGGACGGTTTGCGAATGCTGGAGACATTAGATCTGGATTTGTCTAACGCTAGGTATTCCACAAACACACCAGATGGTTCACTGTGAAAGATGCCTTTCACGTAATTAGTAATGTTGGAGATGTGTGTGTCCTGCTCAGGTTTATCCAGTTCTTCCTGAGGCTGGGCTGCGGTAAAGCGGCTCCTGACCCACGCTCCCAGCCGGTGCTCCTGCAGTTCTCCGTGGATGGAGGTCTGAACTGGGCTCTCCTGCAGGAGTTCCTCTACAGCAACAGCAGTAACCAGGCTCACCTGGTGGCCCTGGAGATCCCTCTCCGAGCGCGAACCTCAGCCACACGCCTGCGCTGGTGGCAGCCGTCTGAGAACGGACACTTCCACAGCCCCTGGGTTATTGATAAAGTAAAGAGCTGCTTCACCAAGACACGTGTGACATTACTGCAATACACTCATTAACACTGTATTAAATATTAGGTCATATACGTGCATTTAAAATGGCCTTTGGAGTGCCTTGCAAAGGCAATTCAAAACCATTAAGCAATTTTCTCATTTTACTCCATGATTAAAGCTACATTGATGTTTGTGTTTCAGTGATATTTTAACTCCACTGAAGCTCGGAATTAATTATTTGGTTATACATTATTTTGATAGTTTACTTTAGACATTCTACTAACTAGAAGTAACTTTGCAACTACATGTCAACTAACTCTCATTAGAGTATTCTATATTAACAATGATTTGGGGATTAATATAAAGTTATTTAATGGGAAATTATGTGAGTGGTGCTCATGTAGTGTGGTATGGGTAAGAAAACAGTGAAAATGAATAACAGCTATCTCTTCCAAGATTTTTGCCTCTATGTCGAGTTGCTTGTTGTGTGTTACTCTTTATTTTGTGTATTGTATTCTGCTTGTTGTCTGTTACTTTTATCACAAAGAAGTTGCACTGAATTTCATTGTACATCTGTGCAATGACAATAAAGGCATTCTGATTCTGCTCCTCATAACCGTACATTAAACATGAAGTATCTTCACAGTGATCGTGTCATGGTGTGCAGCAGATTCACATTCACTGTGGACAGACAAATAGCTTGCAGTGTATATTTCTCGAAAGAGAAGCTTGACTAGAGCAGATTCATTGGGATTTGTCTGTGTATAAAAATTGTCCATTTTATTGATTGTGTCACATAGGCGGGGTTTTGGAGTCTGAATACTTCAAGTTGATGAGTGGAGGAAAGCCTTCCAGAAAGTGTGGCATCACCACCAGCGGGAACCACCTGTTCTTCAGTGAGGACGGTTTGCGAATGCTGGAGACATTAGATCTGGATTTGTCTAACGCTAGGTATTCCACAAACACACCAGATGGTTCACTGTGAAAGATGCCTTTCACGTCATTAGTAATGTTGGAGATGTGTGTGTCCTGCTCAGGTTTATCCAGTTCTTCCTGAGGCTGGGCTGCGGTAAAGCGGCTCCTGACCCGCGCTCCCAGCCGGTGCTCCTGCAGTTCTCCGTGGATGGAGGTCTGAACTGGGCTCTCCTGCAGGAGTTCCTCTACAGCAACAGCAGTAACCAGGCTCACCTGGTGGCCCTGGAGATCCCTCTCCGAGCGCGAACCTCAGCCACACGCCTGCGCTGGTGGCAGCCGTCTGAGAACGGACACTTCCACAGCCCCTGGGTTATTGATAAAGTAAAGAGCTGCTTCACCAAGACACGTGTGACATTACTGCAATACACTCATTAACACTGTATTAAATATTAGGTCATATACGTGCATTTAAAATGGCCTTTGGAGTGCCTTGCAAAGGCAATTCAAAACCATTAAGCAATTTTCTCATTTTACTCCATGATTAAAGCTACATTGATGTTTGTGTTTCAGTGATATTTTAACTCCACTGAAGCTCGGAATTAATTATTTGGTTATACATTATTTTGATAGTTTACTTTAGACATTCTACTAACTAGAAGTAACTTTGCAACTACATGTCAACTAACTCTCATTAGAGTATTAGTAGACTGTTAGGTTAGGGTTAGTAGAATAAATTGATGTTCTTGCAAAGATACTTATAGATTGCAGAATGTCTAAAGTGGACCATCAAAATGAAGTGTTAACAAATATTTTTAATGTGAAACACTTTTATATCCCAAAATGATAATCTAGCATCTCTGTGATCTCTGTGATCGGTGTGTGTGTGCAGTTGGTTGTGGGCGGCAGTGCCAGCGGTTGGGGGCCGCTGGAGGACGACTTTTCCTCCACAAATGGACGATCTTGGCTGCTGCACCCCGGCGGCACGCGGATGCCAGTGTGCGGCTCTGACGGTGAAGCTTTTGCCTTCATCGAGAAGTCAAACACGCGTTATGGCATCACCACCGACATCAGTCTGGGCCCAGATGCCTTCATCCAGTTTGATTTCTCTGCCTCCTGCTCCGTCACCTCCTCCTGCTACAGTACGTCTCCTGACATGAGCGTGCGCTTCTGTCTGTGTCATGAATAGAAGGGCTTTCCTCTGATGGCTGTTCATGTGTCCACAGTGGTGGAGCTGGAGTACTCTTTGGATCTAGGTCTCACATGGCTGCCGCTGGTCAGGGACTGTTTACCCACAAGTCCACATTGTTCTTCATACACACTGCAGAGATTACTGGTGTCAGATACTTACAACAAGTGGGGCAGAGTTACCTTACCCATACCACACTACGCCAGGTAAGCACCCACCCACCCACACTATTTTCCTGTTTGACACTGTAAAGCTGCTTTGACTCAATCTGTACTGTATAAAGTGCTATAGAAATAAAGCTGACTTGACGTGATACCTGCATGTAAATCAAGTAAGGAATAATTGACAAGGCATTAAATTATTGAAATATAATGCAGAGGTGGTAATGCTGTTACACCTCCGGTGTGCATTATTTTTCAATAATTCAAAGGACTGGAGTCAATTATTCCACTTATACCACGGTTACAACCCCTCAAGACATTGTTCAGATAGTACTAATTTCTTACGCATTTCATCCCAAGCCTTCGTTTGAAAATTCAATACGTAATTTTAGAGTTAATATCATCTATCTATGGTGTTTGGCAGCAGCGTCTCTACTAATAGCGAAACTGTAAGTTTATCTGCTTCAAGAACAGCAACGTTACCACCTCCATACTGTGCAATGTCATTTATCTTTTCAGTTGCAAACTATATTACTGAAAAATTCATTTGCAGGGTAGGGCTGGCAACAAGGGGTGTGTGCTTGCAGAGAGAGAGATCAGGATAAAGAAAGTGCACTTTGCATAGAAATAAAAGGTCATTTACTCTGGGAAAACATGAAAAATGTTGTTTTTATCCTATTTTTGGTCATATTTGTTTGCTTTGTTCAGTGTCTTTGGTTCTTTTTTGGTTCTTTTACTGATGTAGGCTGTAAGGACCTTTGAAATAACTGAAATAATTTGGCGAAGTGATTTGGAAGTGCAATGCGGTCGACACAGCTGGAGCTGCGTGTTTCCTGGAAAATAATTGCACACATTACAATATCCTTCAACCAATCAGAATCAAGCATTCAACACCCCGTGTTAAATGACTTCTAAGAATCGAAAGGTTTTTCGTTGTCTTTTGTGGCAAACGCACAGGTCCACGGCCACACGCTTCCGCTGGTTCCAGCCGGCGCCGTTTGATAAGCAGCAGACGTGGGCTCTGGATAACCTGTACATCGGTGACGGCTGTCCCGAGATGTGCTCCGGCCGCGGCCGCTGCAGACAGAGCTCCTGTGTGTAAGTCACTCTCACCGTCACCAGGTAATGCCTGCTGTAAGTCTTTCCTGCTCCTCACGGCTCTTGTCTTTCAGATGTGACCCTGAGTGGGGCGGTGAGTTCTGCGATGAGCCGTTGGTCTCTCTGCCCGCTCAGCTGAAGGACAGTTTCAGTCGAGCTCCGGCGCTCAATCACTGGCACCTGCTGACCGGCGGCAAGATCAGCAGCGTCTGTGGAGCCGTGGCCTCAGGATCAGCACTGCACTTCAGTGGGGTAAAACCGTCTGTCCTTCAGTCTCTGTTTCAGTTTGAGGAGTTCTTGAGATGCTCACATTCACAGTGATTCACAGTCTTTAAATTACAGTATTGCAGCATGAAATCACAATATCATGAAGTCAGAAAAACTAACTATAGATGAAAACTAAAAACAAAATAACCAAATTCATAAGTATTCCAGCTCCCAGAGTTAATACTGAGAACAACCGTTGGCAAAGAGCTTATTTTCCTGAAGATTGTGTCCTGGGAGTCTTAGGATTGCAGCTTGTTTTCCTCGAAGGCTTTTTTTATAGTTGGTCCATCTATTTTTCATTCTCTCTTTATGAGTTTCCCATTCCTGCTGTCTTTCACCGTAGGGATGCTGTTCTCACTGCGATGTGAGCTTAACAATGAGGCACAAAAGCTCAATTTTACTTTCATCAGACCGTGAAACCTTCCTGCAGTTAGCTGTCTCTCAACTGCCTAAGCAAACTCCATCTCAAATATCATAAGTTTATTCTGCAAAACCTTTCCATGGAAATCATTTGTTGAAGGAAAATCTGTCTGTCTGTCTGTCCATCTAGCTTTCTGTCTGTTGTAGTAAAGTTTCAGGATACATGACAGTATTGCTACAGTGCTGTTTGTGTAAACGAGGGTAGTTTTGAATGAATCAGAGTATCACGTGTCATTGCTGTTGTTTGTCTAATGGCCAGAGCTGCTCTCGTCAGCTGGTGACGGTGGATTTGAATCTGACCAGTGCTGAATTCATCCAGTTCTACTTCATGTACGGCTGTATGATCGCACCCAGCAACCGTAATCAGGGCGTTCTGCTGGAGTTCAGTGTGAATGCGGGGATCAGCTGGAATCTGCTGACCGAGATCTTCTATGACCAGTACAGCAAGCCTGAGTGAGTCTCTCAGCTAGCACTGTGATTTTCTTGATTTGAACAATACCAACAGTGATTCTTACAGTTCCCAGATTGACGTTGCACTCCATGCGCATTCTACAATTGTACAGATGTTGTGTAACTGAAGTCTCCTCACTCAGTTAAACATGGGACACCTTATAATGTCATCAGAAAACTGTACTGTTTGAAATACTTATCCTTACATGCTGCACACTGTTTTTCAAAATAGTGCATAGTGCACAGTAATCAGCATGCTACTGTTCTGTTCTGAGCACAGAGTAACAGGAGGGAAGAGTAGAACTGTTTTTAACTCAATTAATTAAAGGTCCTCTGTTGAAGTGTTCAGTGCATTCACACTGTAACTATGAATGTTTTCTCCTGTAGGTTTGTGAATGTTCTGCTGCCCGCTGCTGCGCAAGCCGTGGGTGTCCGGATCCGCTGGTGGCAGCCGCAGCATGACGGGGCCGATCGGAGCGACTGGGCTCTGGATAATGTGCTGATCTCCGGCTCAGATGCTCACGCTCAGATCTCAGACACGTTTGGAGGAGCGGCGCTGCCCAGCCATGAGAGAGCGCCGGCTGACAGCACACACACACGACACAGCGGCTCATCCATCATCCACGAGGAGACCATCGGTACGAGATCACGTCTACAGACACACACACTCACACTCACACACACACACACACACACACACACACACAC